ATATATATGTAATAATTTTTTATACCTACGTTTGCACGAAACAAAAAGGAGTAATATGCGTGATATTTTGCGTGGACCAAATCCATGACTTTTCTCGCGTCCAATCATTACCGTAATACCTAAGACATAGATACTTAAGAGTATGTTATAAATATATACGATTTCGTAAATTTGGTGAAGTTAAGAATATATATAGAGAAAGAGGCGAGTTCTCGCACTCCAACGTGACACCGCTGTAAAATAAGTATGTGCCTCTATATGAGTACTGGTATATTTGAGACGATAACAAATACCTGTAATCGCAATTGAAACGCGATCTAACAAAGTATACACGTTGACGATATGTATGTACCCTCTCGCGTTACAAACGCACAAACCCCTAGCGTAGGCTGCAGTTTACGGGTCACAGAGTATATTGTATATACTATATATACTTGCATGATGCGGTACTTATACAATCCATTCTTCTATACTCGTTTGCGCAGTGCTTTCGGTTGACAGTGGCATGCACACTACACTTGGATCATTGGATTCTTCGTTGATGAGTCCCTCCAGCAATCTCTTATCATGACCGGTTGACCGGAAGAAAAGGTGACGCTGTACCTCTCGGTTTTTCATTTCAAAATTATTCCCATTTTTTTTTTGCTGTGTATAGTAACAAACCAAACGATACCCCAACAACGTGACAATAACACTTTGAAATGACGATGATTCAACATAAATAATAATAATAATATATTATCATTCGTAAAATGTGACAATGTTTAATTTTTGCAGAAGTACAATTACCGGTTTTTTGATAAGTAGGTACACTTTGTAAGAATATAATGAGATATTTGAATGTGATGTGGGGGTATCAATTGGTATACGTCGTACTGTGTATAATCACAATAATATAATTTGGTGAATGAGTTTCGTCATCATCGCTGTCCATCTCCTCGTTGTACCACGGATGATTCAGCTCGGTAGACGTGCCACGCCAAATTCGTCAACGAAGAAGGACCGCCTTCTCGAGTTTATTCGCTCGTTTGAATGAACGATGCTACACGACGCGTATATGCGTTCGAATTTATGCCTACCTAAGGAGAGAAAGGAGCATTGAACTCGATTTGGCATAATTATTTTTACACAATATTGTCATGTCATTGTTTAGGCTACGAATGAAATAATGCACGTATATGGCCCGCTTTTGTCCTCGATACAAAGCGCGTCTGGATAACGAGGGTGTAACAGTATACATGGGGTTTCATGCTGAATTTGTCACTTTTTATTTTTTCTTTCTTCATTGCATTGAGCGCTTGCAATGGTCTTTGTGTCGGCGATCACGCTACGTTCTCGTAAAACTGTGTTTGCGCACGAAAAAACGTGTGCGGTAGCAAAAACATTTAGGAGGGGTGATTCAGTTTTATTTCCGTCGAGTCACGTGGAGAAATAAACGAAGACGAAAATTCATCGAGTGAAAAAAATCGGTGTGCAATTGTTTTACACGCGTATGCGTTTGGACGATAACATATTTCGCTCATGCTCTGGAATAGTACAAACGTAAGCTTTACCGATTTTCTTTATAATTTTTAACCCAATAGCCGATTGGACGACCCCAAATAGGCGATTTTCGCGCGTTCGTAATTGGAAAAATGTAATTACCGATTAACGATCATTTTTTTATCGATGGATTTTGTAATGTATCCAAAAATATAGTAGGTACCAAGCGACTATCATCGTATGGTATGTCAAATAAAACAACTACCACTACGACAGCTTCCTTTCCGTCTCCTAAGATTAAATTTTAAAGACGCGCGATTACACATTTGAACGATCGTTGCGTAAAAAGATCAAAGTTGGGGGAAAAAAAAAAATCAGAACTTATCAGCTCGACGTCACATAATGTATAAAACAGCGGCTAGTTATTTGTATTCAGTAGGGACCGGGTAAAAGTAGACGAGAAAGAGGAAGTGAGAGAAAATGGTTGGGACGTGACGACGAGACCTGCAATGAGGCTTATCGCGGATCCATAAAAAAAAAAGTCTGGCGAACTTTCTGGTAAGCGTCTTTGCACGTCTCTATTTCGCTGTACTAAATATTTATCTCGGGGTTTTCCTCCTGCGTGCACGTAGTGATAAGGAAATAGCCAAATCGCTCAAGTGCACTCGTCACCTTGTTCGGTAAGCTTTTTTTTTTTTTTTTTTTTTTCCGATAGCCCATCATAGATTATCGCAATGTTTTTGTATGCCCATACAAACACTTTTTTCAATTGCAATTTATTATAAATATTCGTGGTTTATGCTCCAACACGTCCAATTAGTAGTTCCAAAATCACGACGTACGCGTTGCGAGTTAAGTTGCTTGGTTAATTAGCAGTGGTGGTGCTAGACGGCCTTCAGAACCGATGCCAAGCCAACCACCTGATTTGATGCGCATCGATACAATTAATGTCTTCGCGAGCTGTCAGAAGATGCCTGCAAGCACGATACGAAGTAATGTAAATATCAAGAGTCAGTAGCTAGCTGCGCTCACATTTTTGTGTGTGTGTATATACACCATAAAAAATGAAATCCGTTTTCACTGTAGCACCTTAAGACGATCATTCCTATACCGATTTTCAAACAAAGGATCGACAGAGCCCCCACTAGCGATGACTTCTATATAATTTACAAATCGTTTTTATTTCCATGAATCCCAAGTACTTACCAATCACATCGCGAATACAGATCGACTGTGCTCGATACTCATGGATTTTCTACTCGTTCGGTATCTCACACGGACTTTTGGGTGCCGATTTACAGTCGAATGAGAGGAAAATAATTTTTTCGGCTCCCTGTAACGTACACACAGGTATTATACAGAGACGAAATTCATGTCCTGGTTACTCCGTTCCGCGTCTCCATTCCCATGTCCGGCGCGAAGCTATTTCCGCTTTTTTGCATTTCCCCGCTTGTTGTATCATCCGACTCCTCTTACTTTATCGCCGGCCAGCACCACTTGTGCGTATTTATCATGCTCCCTATCGCGCTCCAAGTGGCAGTGTCATCAGGAAACACAAGCTCTCGTGGAGTCGCGAAACGCTATACGCCGACCGATGAGCTCCGACGTGCGTTGCATTTACGTATACTTATAT